GCAGGAAGGGTTGAGCCAAAGCACCTTTAATGGCTGCAGAAGGAGAAATTACACAGAGTCCTTTTTACAGTCAAACCAATAAACAAATAAACAAAGCAAAGAATGAACTTGTCACCCACTCCAGGGTCTAATCCTCTTGGCTGCAGGGAGGGGATGTTTGGCAGGAAAGTGGCCCAAGTGGTGAGCACTGTCATGTAGGGATTGATGGAAGTCTGCTTGAAGCAGACTTGAAGCACCACGATGCTGCCCAGCACAGGGGGATGCTCAGTGCCCTGCTCCTGCTGCCCCACTCTTGCTGACACGTGGCCAGCATGCCCCAGGTCTTCTTGGCCACCTGGGCCCAAGCTGGCTCACGTTCAGCTGCTGTTGAGCGACACCCCTGGGTGCTCTGGGCCCAGGCAGCTACTCAGGCACCGAGATGCCTTTCCTGTTCTTAGCAACACAAGACAGCACTCAAGGACTTGCGGCTTTATCCCAGCCTCCAGGCTCCAGGGGAGTTTTCAAAGCTGCAGACTTCAGAAAGAAAAGTCTCAACAGATATACAGAGTCTCTGGTTTTTGCCTCAGAAGAAGGATTCAGAACTGTGCAGTTTGTGTCTTTTGCCACACAAGAGAAGAGTGGCCCCACATGGATTCATGGACCACAAAATCATCTCTTTGCAGCTTATCAAAAGCCAGAAGAGACGTGGGCTCAGAGCACCTGTCAGCTCTGCTACTGACTGCTCTGCCTGAAGAGGCAGAACAACAACCCAGCAACAAAGGCACCAAAATCCCTGATTTCAGTCAGAAATTCCACATCCCCAGTGTGTCTCTGAAATACTCCCAGGTAAGCACACCCAAGAAGGCCATGGAGACAAACCACCCCAAAGCACTTGTGTGGTCAGATCCACATCTTTTGTGCCTGCAGCTACTTGGCCAGTCTGTAGGGCACAGGACTCTCCAGACCACAGTGTCCTCTCCAGAATGTGACATGGCTGAGCAGAGTGTCTTTGAAATGCTCCCTCCTCTGGGCACAGGGAGCCTTCATGCTTCAGGCTGGCCCCTCTCAGAATCCCAGCAATTGGGGGCCTAAACATGACAGATCAAAAGTCATTTTTCAGCTGCCATTGCCTGGGGTGACTTGCTAGGTGCTGGCACGACTCCTGCACTCGGCAGCCTCAGCTACCAACAGCAAGTGCTGGCTGCTCAGGAACTTGCAGCTGTGCCTTGCACTAAAGACAACACCAGCCAGAAGTGGCACTTACAGTCTGCGAATGTTCAGGCTGGGGTGTGACCACTGCTGGAGGCTCGTGGTCATTTTGCTCCTCTTTGGCCTCTTCTCCAGGAGCAGAGGGAGCCAGAGAAGAGTCTGCTGTTGGTTCTGGGCTCTGTGCACAGATAGTAGTGTTAGGGACAGGCAGCTACCTATCATTTATAACCTTACTTCTATTCTGCTCTATTTCTACAACCAGCTCGACTAAAGACAAATCATCCACTTTGATAGCAATGGGATTCTAAGTCACTCCAACTAAATGAAAATGGCTTAATTCAACTGGACTGCAAATTGTCTGAATTAGATCTCCCACCCTGGCTACTATCAAGAAGCAGTGCTCTCTCTGCAAAACTGGTCTTCTGGTTCTTTTAACGCACTGAAGTGGAAAATGAGGAAATAGGCAGCAATGCCTTTGCTATCACTGCTGCAGACATGGAAATGGATTTCCTTTCAGCCTACTCAGCTGGCCACCTACACTCTGCTGCCACAGGCCAAGCTCCCAGCTTGCTCCACAATTCCCAAGCAGCAGGAACATCAAAGGTTCCTTTCTCACTCACCTCAGGATCGGCACCTCTGAACACACGCCTCAGGTGACCTGCAGTGAGCAAGGGAAAATGAACGCAATGGGGTGAGAAAACTGCCTGGGCTGCTGAATCCCATAGAATAAGTGAACCCAAATACCAAGAGGGTATTTTCCTCTAACAGCATCCCTCAGGGGACACCATTCTTTCACACATCCAACAAGGAACTGGGCAATATTCTTGCTTGTGCCTACACTTTGGCCTCTTTTGCCAGTAAGTGAACACAAACTTGATCAAGAACATGCAAAGTGTTCTTTAACACTCAATGCTCGAGTCTTGTCCAACAGATAAAGTAGCTTTTGCTCTTTTCCCTTTCAGATACTTTTTTAAAAGATAAGTTGCATGCAGTAATTCTCATTAACTTGCTGAAAACATTGGCCCAGAAAATCTTCCCCCAAATCCCCCTGAGCTGTGGCAGTTCTATTGTGCAGCACAGCAACAGCAGCTCCAGCGTTCAGGAGCACACACTCGCTGCTTTGGAGTTTGCACTTCATTGCAAAGGGTATTGCTATTCTAGCACTCAGAAAAGGGTGAACTTAGTCAAATCCTTTCATGACAAAACTGAGAACAAAAGAAGCTTTCCCTCAATTATGGGGAGAACCACAAAGTCTTAAGAAGGCCTTCTGAGAAGGTCTCTGCATTTTCAAAGCTATCCTGCTTGAGCCAGCAAACTGAGGAAAGGACAGACTCTGCTGCCACAGACTCTCCTGTGCAGGGAATGGAACCCTTGCAAATGCTGCCTGCAGACCCCTGGCTACAGGCATCCCGTTTTTGCTAAACTTGTTGACAGGAGCTTTAGCAAAGCAGTGGCATCCTAATGGTCCTTCTGTTTCAAAATCAATCCAGGCACTAAGAAAAAGCAGGAAGACCTACAAAAGCCAAGTTAGGTTACACCCAGGGAAAACCTCTACTTACATGCCAGGTTTGTCAGGTAATAGCCGGAATAAATAAAGCCGTAAACAGTGCAAACTGCAGCAGCGAGTGGCTCCATCATTGGAGCACTGCTGTGGCAGTTTGCAGACACTGCTCCAACTCAAGAAGAACAAGGCTCCTGTCAGTGTGCAGCTGCCCACTGACAAACGCCTCAAGCAGGAGGATGCTCCTGCACTGAGCAAGCCCAAGAGCTGCTCTGACACTGAGGCCTTCCGTGCTCCAAGGCAACCTTCTGATGTCTCCATGACAATGTGGCAACCATGCCCTGACATCACAAAGCAAGTGTTCTGCATTGGAATTTATGCAAATTTATGCAAAGCAACCCAACCTCCCCTACAGCAAACACCAAATAGCCTGGGAAGTTCTCCTCTGTCACAAAGCTGCACAAAGTCCCCTGGTGAAACAAACCCCGTTGTTGAAGGGATCCAAGAGTAAAAGCAAGAGTGGCCCAAGCACCTACAGCCTGTTCCCCAACTGAGCACTCACATGGGACCAAAGACAAGGCAACCAGACCAAGAGAATGGCCCAAAGCATTGCACAGAACCAGGAAAGAAAACACTGTTGCCATAACAGCTGAAATAATTCTTAACAAATCTCTCCACATATTTCCATATTTATTGGACATGCCCAGGGCTCCTGTGTACATATATCTCTGCCTTTATTCCCATTTGGAAGCAGTTGAACTGGCAGGATCTGCTCACCACCAGCAGCAGCTGCTGCTCCAAGCTGGGAACATGAGTGGCAGTGCTGATTTCCAGAGCCTTCTGTCCCCCAGGTGAAGCCAAGGCAGGAGCAGGTTGAAAAGTGCTGGCGCTGCTGCTGCTGCTGCTGCTGCTCAGTGCCAGAGAGCTCTGGCTGGGCAGGGCACGGTGCCCACTGTGCTGTAGGCTCTTTCTCCTGCCAGATCAGGACACACCTGGGAACAAGTGATAATGACTTCTGGGAAAAACAAAGGGTTTTTGGGAGCTAATTACTCTGCACACACTCGGGGCACCTGCAGTACAGAGCTTTGACCTTCAAAAAACATAAACCAGAGAGAAACAGCTGGAAAATGTTTCATTTTTACCATTTTCATTTTCTGACAGATTTAAATCACAACTCAGAATTTATTGACATGAGAGTAGGGGTATCCTGAGGCTCTCTGCTAGTCATTGTCATAGGTTCAGTGCCAGGGTCTTCATTTCTTCATGCAGGAACAGGAATAACACAGCACCAATAGGAGGATCAGATCATTTGTTTATTCTCTAAGCTTGGTTACTTTTATACTGTATATAGATCTATTCATACAAGTATCTCCTGTAGAACTGGCTGCACACATCCTTGTAAGCATTTGTATTGGATAATTACGTTTGTGTATATGGGACCAACACTTGTGTGTTCAACTTCTCTATCTCCCATCCTGTTTGGCTCTTCCTTTGTGTTCTTTTGCTGACCATGACTGTTCCTTCCCTGTCTGATAACCTTGCCCACGTTCTTAACTCTTTCTCTTTGAGGTGAAATTTGTTCTAATGCAGCTCAGGGTCCTACATCTCCCCTTCTTTTCTTTAAAATTGGAGGAATTAAATGGTGCAACATTTGTTGAATGCATTGTAAGAAACAAGGCAGAAGCAGCAGAAAGCTTAGAAATACAATCAGTAACATTATTGCCCTCTTGACCAAGGCCTGCCACCAACCCCTTAAACCCAAACTAGCAAGAAAAAGGATCATGTCATTCTCTGATATGCTTCATGTTTTCATGTAGTCCTGCCATTTGTTTATGAATATTTTTGGAGTGCTCAGATAAGTTAAAACAACACATTCCTTCAAAATCTTCACACCCGTGTCCATGTGCTAATAACAAAAAATCTATAGCTGCGCAATTCTGCATGGGTGTCATGCCGAATACTATCAACATCAGTCAGCAACTCACTCAACACTTTCTTAGTCAAATGCAACTGTTTGTCAACCCAACAGGCAAGACGAGCTTTATTTTTCACATTCCTGGCAGCCAGTCCCTCTGGTAAATGGAAAGATGTTGCAATGACAGTCACCAATGATGGTAATTGCACATTGGCATTACAAGTCTCATCAAAATTCCAAATGGATCGATGTGATCTTTGATAATGACTTTGAATGGCATTCAATAAATTCCTCATGTGGGGAGCAAATAATTTTAGTGGACCAAGAGAGCATGGTCCACCAACAGGTCATCTTGGAATACCAGGCCATGCTCGATTCCCACAAATCAAAAAGAATCCTGGTGGGAGTTCCCACTCTCCTGAAGCGTTTCCTGTCAGACCCCCTCTTTTTAATCTGTTCCATGGAGATTGTCCTGTAACATTTGGATAACCTTCAAACAATGTTTTTTCTCCTTGCTTTTGTAACCAACTAATCCAAGGATCTCCAAACCAAACTACTCCTGTACCATTAACTGCTTGCCATGGTGGGGCCATACTGTTGCAACTAGGCAGAACAGTAACATTGACATCCAAGGTTGGGAAAACACTGGCTAACAAATCCAGTTCTTGAAATGGAATAGGATATGATCAGTTCAAATTTGCAATTACTCTTTTCTGCCAGGCTGCATTGCACACAGACAGCCAAGTATACTGTCCCTTTGGACTGAGACAGTCATCACTTCTGCCACTTCTTAAATTTACAATTTTCGGGTCCCCCCAACCAGAAAAATCTGTTTTGTTCTCCTGAAGGGGAATGCCAATTAAGCAAGTTCAAAAAGGGTCACTGGCCTGCTGTAAATTGAGACAAAAATCCTGCATACCAGACACATTAGCCCAGGTTACCCAAACATTTCTT